TATAATTATTTTTTAAATTTATGTTTAAAGAAAGTCTTTTATAGTATTCAAAAACAACTCACATTTCTGTATAATCAAATTTATTATTATTATTATTATTATTTTTTTTTTAATGTATTTTAAAGGGATGTTATATTGTTAATCAGGAGGTACAGTACTTGTGATTATTACCATCATGATCAGTAAACAAATAAATGTATGAAATTAAAAAAATTGAAAAATAACAGATTATTTTATAAAGTAAATGAAGAATTGGAAGAAGAATATCAACTTTTATGAATCTTTTGTTACTTTTTGTGATTAAGACAAAGATTATTACAATGTGTCATTGTTTTATTTCTATTTTCTATTTAATGACTTTTTACTGCATACTGACAAACAGATTAAATTACTTTAATCTATTAATTATATAACCAATTAAATCTTGCATACTAACCATTTATATTTTCAAATGAAAAATTTCCAACTGATTCAAGAGCTGCTGGAACTAAAACACTAAACAGTCTCCTTAAAAAAATATATATATATAATTATTTGTAAAGTAATTTATGATAATTTTAAACTTATTTATCAAAAAATATATATATACNAATTTAAGAAAAAAAAAAGTAAATGAAAAAATGTATAATAAAATTGTGATTACTGCAAGGAACATATTTTACCTAATAATTTTTTGATACTATTAGTTTGTGATACATAATATATTATTTTTTCTGCCATAATAACTAACTTTTTTCTGTACCCCTAAACAACCTATCGCGTACCCCTAGGGGTACGCGTACCACAGGTTGGGAATCGCTGATCTAGAATTATAAGTTAATCAATAAGCATTGACTTAATAAAAGTCAAGTAACTGGTAATTGGTTAATTTTTGACCAACTCCTGATCCGTGGTTGTGAAGTTTTTGTTTTAAATTTTGTTAATCCATATCAGTTAAATAAATAAATAAATAAAAGTAGTTAAATATCTTACCTTTGATAAAGAAATTAATTCTTTCAATATTTTAATGACTGAATTATTTATATCATATTTCTCCTTTACACAAAATAGTAACCATTTAATTAAATTCTTAAACAAAATGACATCAACAGGAACTGATCTAATATTTATTTTTAAAGTCTCAATAGAATGATAGAATTCAATAATTATACCAGCTAATAATGATGGTATTTTATCATTATCAATATTAGAACAAATAATATCTGCTAAGTTTGTAGCTTTCTCTTTATCTGTAAAAAATATATAAAAATTAGTTTTAAATTTCTAACTGTTCCTTTTTTCCATATTTAAAACACATATTTTGACTTACCAATAATATTTAACTGAAATAGTTTTGTTAGCACATTAGACACTGCTATTTCCTCCCAATTGGAACTTTCATCTTTATCTCTAATTACTTTCTCAATGACAGTCCAATAATAAGGAGAAATTACTTTCAAAAATTTTTTTAACATTTTTCCTTTAGGTGAAACAATATCAATGCAACAATTTACAAATTTTATTGTAACCTGTGGTGACCAATCATTCATACATTGATGCTCTCTCACCAAAAAATCCAAAATTTGATTGAAGAATGGTAAATTCACTTGAAGAAATGACTGAATGAAGATTAATATCTTAGGAGTTAGATTCTTAAATAATGGTGCCAATAATTCTAATAAAAAAAATGAAAATGATATATTTCATTAAATTACTAAGTCATTTAAATTAATATTAATAGATGTTACACACTATAAAAAATTTATATATAATATATGAAATATATTATATATAAATTTACATATAATATATTAATATGAAAAATATAATTAATTTTGACTGATAAATTATGTAATTTCATTTAAATAATTTTAAACAGAATTTGACTAGTTCAATATATTAATAAGGTGATTTTGTCATCTGATTATGATAAATTTATAAATAGGCATGTTGCTGTCTTAATTTAATAATTTAAATAAATAAATCTAAAAAGATTTAATTGAAATAGAATTTAAACTCAGTTTGGACTAATAAAAATCAAGGTAAGTCAAGTTAGGACACTTAACAGTATTATGAGGATTATGTAATGGATGGTAGTTTAAATCTATACATCCCACTTGCTCTAATAAGAAATTTATTATTAATTTCAATTTAGTCTATATATAATCTGATAAAATTCCAATAGCTTATTTATATATAATGTAGTCTAAACTAAATTTATGTGCATTATTATATTTGAAAATTTTGTTAGTGCAAAACATTAATAAATATATCTAGATAGCAGAAAATGACATTATTTTTCAATATTTGCTATTCAAGCAGTTATTGTGACCATATTACAAATGATTTAGTTCTACAAAGATTACAAAATATTGTGATAGAACATGGGATGCACTTGGTTGACTATCTATATTTACCAGATTACAGGTATCCTAAGATAAGCTTCTATAACAATAGATATCTCCTGACGGAAAAGGAATGAGAGGAAAGTCAAGCAAATTTATGTTTCATTTCTCAATGTGCCCAGTTGTACAGGCAGACCTAACTAATGACTCAAAAGAATATAATTATAAATTCAGTTACTTTTAATACCAAATGTTATTAATTTACCAACTATTTCACATTAATAACAACTTAACTTTTAAATAGAATTAATTAATTTAAAATGATTAACATATGAATTATCATATGTTATCTTTAGTATCAAATTATCATAACTCAACACTATAACCAATTAGTATTCTATTACAGGATGTCTAATAAAATGCAACCCATCATACACTGCATGGATCTTTGGTGCTCCTTGTTAATGGAATATGTATAAATTTTGTCACCAGTCTCTTTACTAAAGTCTTGTTAGGAACTTTACTATCTGGGCACTTGATTATATGAAGAAAATTATTTTGTACTAAGATCACATAAAGAAATATTCATCAGCAATAAAAAAACACATTTCTTCTGTAAACTAATTTCTTCCCTGCAAAGCACCAAGTACACTGGTTGCATTATAATGAAAACTAAGAAGACTGTTGATTTAGAAGAAGTGATCACATGTTGAACAAATTGATTCCAGTGAGCAGTATGAGTATGGTGTTTCTGTTGGTAATTCATATTTCCCAGAATGTTAATGGATGGGTTACATTTTATATAAAACATCCTGTATAAGGAAACAGTAATGATTTACTAAATTATGAGGTAAAATCCAGAGGGCTCCTTCTGCTCTTTCTACATATGTTTTCATATCTTTGTTTTTTTTAAATTTTAATATGTTTTTTAGACAATCATCTTTCTCTTAATGCAGAGTTTTGTCATTTTATGAGCAGTAGAGGAGTAAAGACAAATTTTTGATTATGAAAATAAGATTCTAATCTGAAAAAGTTTGCAAAACTTCAAAGTTGAAAATTCTTCTTTTGTAAAATTGTCTCTAAATAAGAAAAAACCTTCTGAAATATCACCTCATTAACCAAATTGACTTAATTTCTTTTAAATAATATTTTTAAAATCTATTTCACAATTCTGTAACAAATGTCTAAATACATATTTTCAATTATTTTCATATAAGCAAACATTTTCCAATTAAACAGTATTTTCAAAATAATAAATATAACATTTTACAGTGATTTGCAAATTGAAAAACAAAACTCACCAATATCAACTGAAGAGAAGCTAGACGGATGTATTTGAATCATTTCTAAAGCATAATTTATAAATTCGTCCATTTTATTTTTTTCCAAGTTTGAACTCATGAGTAGAAAATATAATGTTTTAAAATTTGAAGATTTCATAAGATCAATATTTTTGTCATTCAAACAACATTTTACAAGTTTAGCAAAAACTGAAAAGGCTGGATCAATTTTTTGTATTTGAGATAAGTCAAATTCAGTAATAACTTGAAAAATATTCTCAGCTTCATTTGGGCATAAAATTGGAAGAAAATCACTTATTAATGTTTCAAATGTTATATTTTTTAAAATAAATTTCTTCTTAATCAAATCATTTCTATTCATTTGAATCCAAGAAATCATTTTGCACTTGTATGATTTTAAAATTACTTCCTTATCCAATTGTGAAAACTCATTAGTAAGAGAAATTAAATTCAATATAAAACTTGTCAAGTGTGATGATAATTCCTTAGATAATTTTAAACAATTATATTCTTTTGCCAAAAACCAATATACAACTGAGGAATTCCCAAGGATTTCCTTTAAAAGTTTTGAAGATGAAATATGGTCCAAATCATTTATGTTATTAGCAGTTTCTTTCTGATTGTATGAATGAATAATTGTATTTAGAAAATTGAGATGCAATAAAACTGTTTCTTCAGCAATAATGTCATTCTAAAAAAAAATAATATCATATATATATATATATATATATTTTACACAGTGTCCAACATCTTATATATATATTAAAATATGA